GACAAGATCTTGTCGAAACGTTGTACATTTGGTGTTATGTTAAACTTATATTAAAGTTTTTCTTCATTACCCATTCAAGCCGTCTCCAGCCATTATTAGTCTCAAAGTGTGTTCCTCGTCATCGAATTATTATTATTATTATGTTTAATTCATATTATGAATAAATGAAAATAAACTTTCTTACAAACGTTACAAAGCCAATAAGTGAAAAGAAACTGGAACTGGGGCTTGAACTATGAATATGAAATTTCATACTACTGTATTCATATAAAGCCTGAAAACAACACAGAAAAGTATGAAGTTTTACACTCGTAGTTAAAGTGTTCTGAGTGAAGGGTGACAAGAATGGCTTGATATTCTTGGATAACTCAGCCGGATAGAGCATTTGCCCTGTTAGCCAAAAGTTCTGGGTTCAAGCTCCAGTTCCAAAGTTTCTTTTCACTTACAATGATGTTTGTTATAAAGTTTACTTTCAATAGCTCATAATATGAATTACTAAAATGGAAAATACTATCTTTCTAGAACTAAAAATATACTTCAAGTGTAAAATAAGCCTTTGTTGGAAAAATACTTCTGTAATATTGAAGAAATCAATAATATCTCACTTACAGAATCAGAAAGTGAAGAGTTCCACACAACAGGAGTTACATGGGCATTTTGTCGAGTAATTCTTTTCTGTTGACTAGAAAAAAAAAAATTCTCCAGTGACAATGTACATTACTGTTGTTCTTAAATTCAACATAACCTGAAGCTATCCCAAAACTAATGATACTTTAATTCATTACCACTGTCTAATGACCTTTGAGATAGTCACAAAAATAAAAGGAACATTCACAACTTCAACATATGAACAATGATGCAAGAACTCAGCAAACTGGTGAACAGAAGTTACCTATAAACAAATTTAATAACTAGGGATGCACGGGTACCCTGCCAGATAACTGGCCCCGACTGGTTATTGGGCTACCCATTAATACTCGGCCCCAGCCGAGTGTTGAAGGTAAAAACAGTCGAATCGGGTAATTGAAAATAGCATCTTACCCTTAATCTTTGTGGCAACTACACAATACTAAAAGTTACAGTCAATAACTGTTTTAGTTTAAAAAAATGTGTTCCGAGCAACAAAGACTGACCATCCGCTGAAAGTTGGGGATTCAGAGAACAATAGAGGTTAATAATAGGCATGGCTTGAGAAGTGGATTTCTGGGGAAGGTGGGGTTTTTTGAGAACAATTGGGGTTAGTTAGGGTTTGAGAACTTGGGGCTAGGCATTAATCAGAATAATGATTCTTAAACATGTCAACATCACTGTTTCTGCATTTACTTTCACTGGCCTCACTTTTGGAAGTCAAATGAAGTTTGATTTCCCACAATGGGCAGGATAGCAAGTGTTTACTTCCACATCTCCGACCAGTGCAGACAGCAAACAGGCTTTTAGCAACATTATCACACATGAAAGGTCAAGACTTTCACCCGAAAATACCAAAATGCTACTGTTCCTCAAGTACAATTTAAACAAATTCCAAATATACAGGCATTATGCAAACTGGTGTGCACATTTTTGTTAGTTAATTTTGAATGTTGAAAATAAGATTGGAATGTTCTATTGGTGATTATTTGGTTAAATGTAATAAGCGTCAATTTTGTTTTTTTGTTTCTAATTTCTGTGTATATTTTTGTTGTTTGGGGGGGGGGGGCGAGGGGAGAACCCGGTCTCAGTTCACACCTGGCCCCGGCCGAAGTTTAGTGAAAAGGTACCCGAACCCCATATTCGGCCAAATTTTACTACCCGTGTATCCCTAATTATTACCTTTACAACATAAAGTGCTACAAATCAGGATAACAATATCCTAAGAGAAAATGCTGTTTATAAAATATGAAACTTCAAATATTTTTGGAAGAATGCCAGAATCTGCATCAGAAATTGATGCATTGCACACTGCAATGGTTATTTGCTTATAAAGATTAAATCTGATGTTTTGATTTGAATTGCATAATGCAACTGTATTTTGTTATACTAAAAATGGATTCCAATCATGCACATGTTTTCAACTAGTAGTGCTAAAGTAGCCAGGAGCAGAATGTTGGGCAAATGTTTTGTCAAAGATGTAACTCATAAGCTCAATTGCCCTTAGCATGCATAAAAAAATTAAACACTGAGGAAAATATAAATTGTTTTTCCATCAGCATCAGTTGGAAGAAGTTTTCAACAGACTGTTGTTCATTTTTCTCTTCATTTTTGTTTTCAGCTCCCTGATACAACTTCATTGCAATTACTCAAAAACTTGCAAGAAAAACATGTTTTCCTCCAAAAAGATTCCCTTTCACTGACCAATGAAATCCCTAGTTGTAGACCTAAGTATAAATCATGCCAACTTTGCATCGACATGGACATATAAGTGTAATAATCTGAATTCTCAATACATAACTTCTGTCATTAACTGACAGCCACATAAGAAACTGTTGGAGATTATTTGGTACTTGGCTGGAATTGCCGTACTATTGTGTGAAAGATAAATTAGATAATACAAAGTCTAAAACATTAAATATTTACTGTGAGTAAGATCATGCTTGATTGAAAGAGACATTTCAATGATAATAAAGGATAACAGTAAATACTAAGACATCAGTCACATAGTTGCTTTTTCTTTTAATAAAAAAAAAAAAACAGGTTAATGTTATATGTGAAGTTCTGTTTGGAATATTCAACACTCAACTTGTTCCTAGAACAGAAACATGTAGAATAAAATAAATCACATAACTGTAACAGCATATCAAGGTTCTTTAGCATTAATCAAAACAATTACTAAGAGTAATGTGACAGTATAATTTTAATAGAAGTCTTGTACTGTTTGACTGGTGATCCTTTAACACAGTACACAATTGGTACATGGATGACTTTGATTATTTGTCAGAAAAGATTTAATAAAATACATGGAAAGAGAACCTTAGTAGAACAGCTTATCAAAGTTATTGCATTATAATCATCCAGACATGTTACAAAAAGAGTTCTTAGACATATTAAGCTTTTAATGCTTTTTTTCTTTCAAAGTAATCTTTAACAGCTTGAAATGTGAAATCCTCAACCTTAAGAAAGCTAAAACATAACTAATTTATTTGTTCATAATTGAGCGCAAGCTATATAATGGGCTATCTGTGCTGTGCCAACCATAGATGTCAAAACCTGTTTTAACATGACAATATATATATATATATATATATGTATGTATGTATGTATGTATGTATGTGTAAAAATTTTTTAATATGCTTCCTTTACATTGACAAGATTTTTCAGTTGATACATAAAAATAAATTATTATTACTTGAAAGTGAAAAAGTTTTTATTGAAAGTTAGTATAAAATTAGGATTATATGATACATCAATAAATAATTTACTGAATGTTCTTACCCTTCTTTTAAAAGCTTGTCAAATGTACTTGATGCTCCAGATGTACTAATGTCACTACTTATCTTTCTTTCCAAGTTCTTCTTGTGATATTCTTCATCAGCATCTTCCTTTTCATCAACTACAAGAAGTATTGAAGAAGATTGAGGTCTTGCACAAGAAGCCAAACTTATTCGACGCTGTCTATGACGCCCATATGCTCTTTTGTTTTGGAATCTTGTGATCATTATTGGTTAGTTTTGATAAATCCTTGTAAACACTCCTCTTTAGCAAAATTATAAACACTGCACACCAGACATCTGTAAAAGGAAAAATATATAAATTCAACACTGTTACTTTGAGCTCCATTTGGTTAGTTTAGGACTTCAAAACATTCATGTTTTCAGCTAATATTTCACCTAGTCTTATTACTCTTCTACCCAGATATAGTAAACCTATACATGCTTACATAAATTGATACATGTATTATATTTCATACGTAACTTCTCTGTTCATTATAACTGGTAAAAAATCACAGACTGGCATAAACATAATATTACTGAATTTTTTTGAATTCCTCAAAGGAACTCAACATTTCTTTAATAAAAACTTTCAACAGCTATTACACCTCATCTTTATAATATCATCAAATGTTTCAAAAATAAATTGATACTGATTGATATTTAACTTAAAATTTGTATTCTTGAACCAACTTTAAGCAAATAAAGTTCTTTAACAATAATGTTAAGTTTCTAGTAATTTTCAAATCAAATTTACAAAAGATAAAGTTTTCTGATATTTTTCAAATTGCTAAAGGACTTATCACAATGTCTGGCCTTTTGGCAACTTCTCATACTTTATATCCTTGGACCATCATGTACATGGCAGTACACAAAGTATAAATGCTTTATTTCATAACAAAGGTTAGCAAAATCTTAACACAGATGTAGTACAAGTACCAGTTGCAAACTATATGTCACTGTACTAGCAGAACCTATGTATCACATGAACACCAACAGCTTTTGAAATAAACATACACTGAAAACAAATGACACATGCACCTTGGCTGTTACAATTAATTCTATGTTCAAAGAGTAGGGTTCCCATACTTATCTGTTACAATTAATTCTATGTTCAATAAGTGAGGTTCTCATACTTCTCAAAACAACCAATTCAAGGACCTTTAACAACATTTTCCTAAAAATTCAAGGACCCAACAAGACTGAGTGTAAGCATTGTTGTTGTTCGTGCTTCGAAGTTCGAAGAAGACCACGACATCATTTGGTCTATCTGTGGATACGGAGATGGCTCAGGAGTCCTATCCGAGCCAGGAAGCCTCGACCACATTCCCGGCATATATGGCTTGGTGTCCCGTTCTGAGTCAATCGCACCCGATACTTCCGAGCTGCACGCTTCCCCTCGGCAACCAATCGACGTTTACATTCTGCTGTCACCAAACCCTGCCAGACCTTCGTTCTCCAAAGAAATCTATCCTGGGCGAGCGACTCCCAGTTCACATGGTTGATGTCGAACTCTTGCAGGGATAGTTTTAAACAGTCTTTAAAACGTTTCTTCTGTCCTCCAACCGATCGTTTACCTTCACTAAGTTCACCATAGAGAACTTGCTTCGGTATTCTATCAGCTGGCATTCTCACGAGGTGACCAGCACTTCTAACTTGTGCTTTCTGGAGAAGCGTGTATACACTAGGGACACCAGCACGTTTGAGAACGTCTGTGTCGGGAACTCTGTCTTGCTATTTAACATGGAGGAGCCGGCGGAGACAGCACAGATGGAAGTGATTAAGCTTTCTGGCGTGCCTCTGATACATAGTCCATGTTTCACTGGTATATAGTAGGACGCTCAATACCACTGCCTGATAGACCTTCAGCTTGGTGGTTAGTCTGAGCCCTCTCCGCTCCCACACACTGCGACGGAGTCTTCCGAAAGCAGAGCTCGCACGTGCGATCCGGTGGTCAACCTCTATGTCGATGTTAGAGTCCTTCGAGAGCGTGCTTCCAAGATAGCGAAAACTCTCAACTGTCTCCAGGTTCACATCGTCAATGGATAATTCTGGATCAACTAGAGATCGACAAGGAGCGGACTGAAGCACAATGTATTCCGCTCGGACCATCCCTGAAGGCGTCTGACAGCAATGCTGATAAATACATACTAAACAGTGTTGGTGCCAACACGCAACCCTGCTTGACGCCACCGGACACAGGAAACTCTAATCTATTTGAGGTAGGCGGTCAATGGCCTCATCGTTTATAACGGATGGTCTGTTCAGAACTCCTTCAAAGTGTTCAACCCATCTATCTAGAACCTGCTTCCGGTTTACGAGGAGCCGGCTGCCATCTGAACTCAACAGTGGGAGCAAGGTAGCACACTTGCACCTACTGCACTGCCATCGGCCCATCGCCGCAGGACTTTGGTTGATGTCGTGACGTGTGCTGGACTTGGATTATAGTGAGGAAGAGTTGCGCGAGTCGTCGACCTCACTCTCTCGTCCCTTCCCATGCAGATCCAGTGGCAAGAACAAGTCAAGATGACTGGGGATAGATCAGGATGCAGTGGATGACCGCGACTTCCTATCTGCCTCGCCGCGCTCTTCGCACTCCACAATGCGGTGCTGGTCATTGTAAGCATAGTAAATAATAGAGAACAAGGACTGCTAAGAACAGAAAAAATGAGGGAGCCTGACAAGGTTACTGTTTGATATAAAAATACAGAACCAGGAGTCTCTGGCAGACAGACAGTTTTGAAAAATATTTTCAGGCTTAACATGACACTAGTATCTTAATAATGTACATACAGTTCAGTCAGTTTTTCATCAAGCATTTGCTCCCCTTTGACAAAGATTGTTGGACTTAGCAAAAAAGGTCAACTTTCCAGTGGTCTCATTCTTCACAGCTAGCTTGTCAGCAGATATCTCAAGAGCCTCACTATCATCTTCGAGCCTTCTTTTCTTGGTTTTGAGGCCACCTATTTCATCAAGAAGGGTCTTCCTTTTTCTCCTCTTCTTTTTTTCACACTTCTGATCATCCAGAAGTGCAATATATCTCTTATTGTAAGAGATACAGACAGAACAAACTCTTGTCTATGATACCCCCTACTACTCTAAGATGATCATAAATGCATCTCTGAGCAACGTAGGTTCTATCTTTCATGTTCTCTATTTCAATTTGTCTATTAACTGAAAGCCCTTTTTAGAAATGGTTTTAATTGTGTGTCAATGATAAAAAATCTGCAGTGAAGTCTCAGCACATAAAGTAATAATGAATATTCTATTTATTTCACAACTCCTTTTATCCCAAAGTGTCACATTCAATCAAAAAGTTTTGTGAAAAAATTTTTTAACAAAAATCTCAAATTAATTTGTTTGCACAATTTGTATTTCTTCCTTGCAGAAAATTAGGGCAACTTTTATTTAAAAAATACCAAGATACTGATACCTCTGGTTCTGTGTATAAATAAATTGTGAACAATGCAACAAGTTTTACACTGGAAAAACCCAAAGACAAGTTCCTACCTGTGTTAAAGAACATAATAACCCTGTCTCATGTGTATGAACACGTGTCCAAGCATAGTCATTTGTTTTAACCTGAAAGATTAAAATTCTCAATAGAGAATATATATATATATATATAAGCTCCCATAAAATAAAAGATATATTAATAACTCTTTATCATCTCCAGCTGTACCTTTACACCAATTACGTTAATTGAAAAAAAAAACCTTCCTTAATAAAACAGCTTGAACCTAAAATTAGTAAATACTCTGGAATATGGTTATCTTTTTAACAGTTGTTTAAAACCTCTAATGTTGAATTATTGTATACACATTTTATCTTTTCTGTTTTTTAATGTAAATTTATAACATAGTACAAACAGACCATAATAACCTATTGAAAATGTCAGCATATATTAAAAGTATTGTTACATCTCTGTTTGTTAATTGATTTTCCGTAACTTCGTTCCGACGAAACTTTAGCGACACAAGTCCTTTCTTAATAAAACTGGTTTATTCTTCCCGAATATAACTTTACCGATACACTCAACTTCAACAATCGCGCTAAACAAACGCTATAACGAACTTCAACAATACTCTGACTGCAGATCAATTACCCACTGTCTATTCACACATTACATTACCGCGTGACGTTGTCCCCCTCTTATATATACCCGACTACCCTATATCTAGTAAATACTAGAGCATTCGCCAAAGTACGGGATAGTTCTAGAAAGTAGAGAGCGTGAGAATCACATGATCTCGATGACGCAACAGTATGTTTCAAACAAGTATGTCACAATATAAGATATTTGAAACCATTTTGTTGTAAATTTTCTTGACAATTATAAAGATATTAACATATTAATAGTAGATAAAACACAATATCAAGTAGAATATAAAATGTTTTGAACCATTATTTTGGAACATTAAATTAATTTGTATACAATTTTCAACAGTTTCATACATAGATTTATAATATCATAACAGCAGCAGTGACAAATGTACTGTACACCCAATAGTGTTTTGCTATTCCAAGGAATCTCCAGAGACTTTCAATGATGTATATCTTTTGTCCTTCTGGAGACCCAGAATTTGTTCCTCTCTAAGTATGGTGATAGCTGTATCCATATATTTGTACTAAAATTAAGCAACACGAAATATATGGTAATCCTGTGAAAAGGCTTGTCATGCTGAGAGAGCTTCCTTGACAAACATCACCTAACAGCATAAATTTCATAATAATATTCTAGTATACTGTAATGAAATATTGTCAGATGTACTTAAATTAGACACCATTTTCAATAATGAGTGAAACATTGTGTTCCTTCTTTACCATATTATTGAGATTTCTATGTCACTTTCAGATTTTCTTTTTAATCGTAGTGGTTTTACAGGAGTAATCAGGTTTCCATGACAAATAACATGCACTAATCATATGTACAGTTTGTGCAAACTCTTTCTTTTATTGACCTAGACATGTTTGGCACACTATTTGTATGCATTAAGTGGTATATTTGACATACACTTACAGCAAATGCTGTTGACAATTCACTGAATGTATAATTATTCATATATTAGGTATTGTATATTTCGTAACATATTTTCAATTTCTATTTACCTGTATAGTTCTCAGTCCTAATACTTTTCAATACCCCTTCACAACTTTCTCCTCCCATAGGTGTATTCAAATAGTCATATGTAACCTACACTGGCAATTATTTAGACTAGATGAATGTGTGAAATGTTTGTTAACTTGCATGCTTAGAGGACTCAGATGCTTACATTTTTCTTATTTGTTTCTGGCTACCAACCAACTGTTTCAATGTAAATATTTTATTTATAAACCCCTTAATAACACAGGGTAAGACATTTTGTGACATTTTTATTTCTCCTAATATGTGTAACACTCAGTAGTACAAAGATAAGTGAGGTGGAGTTTATAGGAGTACAACAGGTGCCAGGATTAGGTTCTATCTAAGCATTGTGAGCTTCATTTCAATTTTAAGGAGGCTCAAAGATACAATACATTTTACCTGCAGAGACTGCATATTTCAGAATGTGGTACAGTATGATACCATACGGTTTCTGCTCTCTCAGTTAATATGTAAATTTCTATATTTGCATTCATTTCAATTTGAATGTGAAAAGTCATTCAAGTAAAAACCTCTTCACTTTGCTTCTTGTTAGCTCTATCCAGGACCACTTCTATTAACTGGCATTTAACCAAAGTTCTTGCATGAAAGACAGCACATGATTTCCAAAAACAAAAAGTTGTCTTTCCTGTTAGCAAATCAGGTAGAGGCCAGGAGTTTTTCCTGCCCCAACATTTGAGCACAAGTGGATAGAAGTCATGTTCAGAATAGTGTTTCATGTAAAGACGTCCTTCAATATAAAACACAGTAACAACTTAAGCCAAAAACTTTTCTTTGGTATATTTTGCAGAGATTTTTTTGTAACTTACATTTTAGCACACTTCAGGGTTTTTGTCGAGTTTAGTATAATCTTTAGTATCTTTGTTTCATTATGTTTTCATTTTAACCTTGGATTTATTGCTATTTTGTAACTTTGTTTTAGTTTAACTGACAGGAGGGCACAACCTGGGCTGGTAAGAGAGAGCTCACAAAGATTTAATTTCCCTTCTCGCTCTCTTGTTAGTCTAACACACAAATCCACTAGCCCCTATTTTGTTTTTCTTAAGATAGTCATTGTGATTGTGTTTTTGTTGTGTGAATAAAAAGTATTATTGTGCACCTTCTTGGAGTTGACTCTATCTCCCTGACAAACTCAGAGATTGGAGAGATAAACAGAAACATACTACATAAATCAGAATCCTTTGAACTTCCAGTCAGTAGACCCTAACTGACTACTCTAAGAGAAATGTACAGCCTAGAAATATTACATAGTGGTGGTGATATTTTGGTGTCATGAACCAAAGAATATCATTGTTACAAGTTCTGTGTTCTCTCTAATAGGGTAAATAGCAAGACCTGTGATCATTTTAATAAAATACAATAGTATGAGCATATCTGGAGACAGCTTTCTCTACTGGAAGACAGGTGCAAGATTTTTAGGAGAAATGAGTCTAGGTCTAAATGAAAACAACTGCAGAAAAGGTTAGCTAGATCTGAGGAAGTCCTCTCCTGGAATTTCAAACTTTTGCTAATGTTGCAAAGGTTCCTCACAGCCATCATCTTACAGCCATGAATTCAGTATTACAAGACTCCTGCCTAACACCCATACATAATTCACATGTACAGTGCTATTTAGAATACTAGATAACTCAAAGTACTATGTTAAGCTTGTGCATTGTTAGATGTTTAGAGACAATAGAAGCTTTATTCACTTATCAGTCACCTGTTGCAACAATACTGTGTACAATTTGTAACCAACCAAGGGAAATTAATAACCATAACTAGAGCTGTGCGACTTAATCGATTACCTACAAGTAGGAATTACATAAATTAGTATGATGTAAACAGATTGATTAATATAAATTATGATAGATTAGTTAATGTCATGAAAATAATCAATTTACAAAAATCAGTATTTCACATTATTACAATTTTTAATTATTCCAACAATCAATTAATTGAGTTTATGATTAAACCAATTGTCATGAAAATAAACAACTAGCTGAAATTAATGATTTTGATTATTACTAATTTTGGTTATACCAACTGTCCAAGTAATCCAAATATTGCCATTTTTTTGTTAATCACAAACCTACATAATTGGGTATCTGTGCACTGCCCACTGTGGGTATTGAAACCTAATTGTAGCATTATAAGTTATTTTTTGAACTTAAGTTTGTATAGCTTTGGACCAGCATGGCCTGGTGATTCGAGGTTTCAGGTTTGATTTTTGTTGCCACCAAACTTGTTCCCCCTGTCTACTAAGACTATATGCCACTAACTCGCCACCAACTTTGGATTATTGCATTTTTCTGTCTCTTTTTTTTTGGTGAAGATGTTCCATGATTTGTGGTTCAAAGAACACTGAATTAATCAAGTCATCAAATGTAATTGATTAATGGGTCTGTTTATTAAACTATTAGCAGACACCATAACACCCAGATCTACTTATGTTTGTAGTTCTAGCACTTTAAAACATAATTTTTCCTGTCAGTCTGAAGGTGCAAGTTTTTCTTTGTTAACAGATAAAATATTAAATTGGTTGTTTGATTAAATTTGTGAAATTTTATGACAAAATATCGCAAGATATGACATAAAAGGTTGCAATTTCTCATGAATGGATGGATAATGTTTAGCATCAGCTACCCGATGTTATTTTTCTGTATAAATTCCAGATTTCTCCAGACAACCATTCCATATTTGAACAATTTTGGAAAATTTTTGGTTTGTTCACTGTTTGATATATAATTTCTAGGATAGTTAATCTAAAATTCTAGAATTTCTAGAAATAATATTATGTCAAGTAAAATATTTTTGTGTATAGAAAATTTAATTTTTTTGTGCACCATGCTTCGCTCAGTGTAATATTTAGAATATATTTACCCTTTCCTTTTCTGTTCAGTATTTATACATTACACTATCTTTTATTCCTCTATCTTCTTCGGACCTTTGGACCAACGAGCCTTCAAAATACTGGATGGTCTTCTTTTTTTCTGACCTATGAAAAGAAGTTATTTTTTTGCTTTTAACAAGTCATGTTTTGTAAATGTCTTGGCTGCATTTTCAATGCTCTTTAGACTGCGGATCATGTGCTATTCAAGTAAACATTCATTTAACATAACTTATGAACAGCAAAGAACCATTTATTAGTCCTTCAAGACTGTCCTTGCATAACAACCCTTTGGAATTGTAAAAATTGAACCTACTCTTAACAATTCCTGTATTCTTGTTAATTTATTTTTTCCCTTTTATTGTGACTTAAACCCACTTTCCTGTTTCTTTCAATCTAACAGTGACAAATCACTGTACTCGTCTTTCCACATACTAAATACTAGAGCTTTTAGTTTTCTCAGAGATCATGTAACTGTGAACTTAACCTTGAGATTACATTATCACATATAATATTCAGAAAAATATAAAGTGATATTGAAGTTTTTGTGTCACAGAAAGGGACTCTCATCCATTATTTACACACTTTCTCAAAGAATATATCAAAACATTTAATACTGTCTATTGATAAGGGTGGTAGGACTACCAGCCATGGATTTAAGATTTGGTGGGGTAGAAGTCATCTGCAAATTACGCAATTTTATTTTGTTAACAGGTTGAGTAGTCTTTGGAATACATTGCCTTCAGACTTAGTAGCCACAATAGGATTCAAAAAGTTCAAAATTGGGTTTGATGAGGACTTGGGGAGTCAGTGCTAGATATAATCATATAGGCAAATGGGTGTTTGATGAAACGAATGGGACAGTCACAATGGTCCAAGTGGTCCCTTGGCCATCAAATTTGACAGTGCTTTTACATTACGTGATAATGGGAAGAAAATGTTAAAAAGTATATTAATGTTTGATATATCTTTGAAAAAGTGTGAAGATAACCAATGAGATGCCCCTTTCTGTGACACAAAAACTTGAATATCACTTTTTCTGACTATTGTATATGATAATGTAATCTCAAGGTTAAGTTCACAGTTACATGATCTCTGAGAAAAACTAAAAGCTCTAGGATTTCCACAAACCAAATCCTGCCAAATCTTAAATCCATGGCTGTCAGTCCAAACACCCTTACCACTAGACAAAAAAAATCTGTTGCATCAATATAAATTTTATAGTTTATCACATACATTTAAACTTATCAAAATGAAAAGTAAATTTTTATGTTATCCCTCTAATGCATGCATTTTGAGAAGATGACCATAAAGAAATGTTCAAAACTGTACCATGAGTGTCTGTACATAAAAGTGATTCAGAGAGATAACAGTGTCAATACATGATCTAGTATTACTATTAAAGAATATCTGCAACAGAGCCACATTTATGCACAGCCAGATGCCTCTGGAGGCAAATTCAAGAAACACTGAATAAATTAATGAATTGTGTTTTTTATCTAATTTTGTAATGCAGACACCACAACCCACCACAAAAGATTGAAATACCAATCAAGAGCACTGAACAATCATGTGAATAATCCTGTGATAAGTGACTTGACTAATACAAAGGCTTCATTTCTGGAATGATTATGTGAAATACTGAAATATCTTTTTCTAATTGATATATTTAATTCATTGTTTTTCATAATTACCATTCAAATCAATCTCCATTAATGGGCAATAATGGAAAAAATGCAATATCACATATTAATTGAAACATTATGTAAACACTTTTTGAGAATATAGCATTGCCTCCTATTCCCTAAAGTTGCTTTAATACTTGGAGCATCTAGAATTTTTATTTTTGGTCAAAATGTATCTGACCCTATTCTACTTATAAAAGTTAGAAAAACTGATAGTAATTAGTATAGTAAATAGGAGGTGAGGACAGCAAAAAAAAATATCTGCCTAGGGCAGCACTATACCTTAATCTGGCCCTGATCTGTGATGTATACACATCAGTTCATAATATGGTATAGTTATTTCTAAATAAATATTAACGTTATTAAAATTCTAAACAGTATTACCAACTTAGCAATTTTGCCACTAGCAACAAAAGCTTGTCAAAGCAACCAGTGACATTCAGAAAAAGAAGTCCGCAATTTATAGTCACAAAATCACTCACTAGCACTAGCAGCTAAATATTGTTATACATTTCTGTATTTAGCAAATTAGTGGATGTAAAAATTTCATAATGTATTATTTTAGAAGTGTCTGTTCATTGTAATAAAAATTTCCCATCCTGTATAATATAGAATTTATGTAGAATTATACATTTTTTTCATTCTCTATTGACTTACTAAAACTAAAAGTTTAATATGGTGCCTTTAGTCTTTAGAATACGAAAAATACTAAGTTTTCTCTGACGATTTTCTGCTTTGTCACTTTGTGTCGTAGGCAACACTGATCAGAAATCCTTACAAATTTCTTTTTGAAAATCTATATATAAATATAAAACAATCAACACTGTATACTTCATACCTGTTCGTCACATACTGTAAATTGTAATGTAATATTAATAATAGTAATACTACTAGTAGTAGTACTAGAACTTAGTAGTTAGTCTTAAAATAGTAAAAATACAAAACTAATAGTAATATATTATTATTCCTAACGTAAGCTTTTATTGTTAACAAATATTTATGTTTACAAAAAGTAGATAAACTTACTTTATCCTTTAGCATAATTCTGTAATTTTAATATTTATATATTATTGTTAAGGTATGTCGGTTTTTGAATATAAACGCAAAGATTAAAGTGAAAGCCTAAAATTCATTACATAAAACGTTTCTTTCAATCTCGCGCCAGTTTGACAAATTAAAACTAAGCCCTCTGTTGAATATTAAAACACTTACAAGTGAAATATAAAACATTTATGCCCAAAATTAATTTTTTAAATCACAAGAAAAATAAATGGCAAATGCCTAGGAACATTTTAGCTATTCTCAACAGTAATTTTACAAACATCGACTTGTAATAAACAGATAAAAGAAAAGAGCATTATTATTGCATATTATATAGTGCGATATTTATGTGGCCAGGTAAAGAATACAGATATGTAGTTTCACAAAAAAAAAAAAAACAGTATTGGTTTGTATATTTTTATCAAGCACAAAGCTGCACAATGGGCTATCTGTGCTCTGTCCACCACGGGTATCGAAACCCGATTTCTAGCGTTGCAAGTCCGCAGACAAACTGCTGTGCCACTCGGGGGCAACAGTATTGGCAATTGATTCATTTGGTAGAAAACGAAGTCTGATAATGAATAGTAGAGTCACGGCAACATCTTTAATTAACTTAAAAATTACACATATTACGTCTTCAGCAAACCTATGAAAATAACGAATTGAACAATCTTTAGTATAATTAGTAATATAAAAATATACAATGAAATGAATGAATATTGTTGGGACATTATAAAAAAAGAGCAATTTGAGTAAAGCAAGGGGAAACCAGTTGATTTTCTATTGGAATTGGACTTTCATTCATGATATGCAGACTTAAGTTAGAAATGAAAAGTTTTCTAAGGTAATGGGGTGTGATGACGTTTCATTGTGAGAATACATAGCAGAGTTAGTTGGAGTTTGAAGTTTAAGTCCAGTTCTATTAAAAACTCTCATGTATTCCAAGGCACGTAATTTTAAATGCCGAGAAGTCTTGCCAATCGTATTATGTATATATGACCTTCGAACGTAAGATTGAAGATAAAATGTCTTTAGTTCTAAAAAAGCTACTGATACGATGTGACGATTTGAAAATACAACGGAGTATAATCTGGGGGTAGAAAGGCCTGAGTAGCTTGTTGAGTTGGGTTTTAACAATAAGACTTTATTTTCCAAAGTAAAGAATAAAAAGTATTAGAGGGAATTTGGAACATGATTGGATATTATTTTGTGGAGTTCTTTTCTTAGTAAAAAAAGTTACATGTTACGTTTTCTAGTAAAGATGAAGGATACCCATTCTATCTTAAGATATTCTGAAGGAAAGTTAGCTCGTTATGAATAGAGGTATAACCTGAGCAGACTGAGTAGGCCCTGTGAAGAAGAGTTAAGACTAAGTTTAGTTTGAACAATTTTGGCAAAAAAATTTTTAAAGCGTGTGTACACTAGTATTTTTCCCCCTTAAAATAATGTGTTAAATTCGTTTTTGAACGTGAAAGTCAAGGAAAGAAAGAGTTTACGTGTTTGAGGAATTTGTCAATGTGTTCGTGGCTACGGAAGAGTAAGAATGTATTATCTATATACCTTTTTTTGTAGAGTGCGGGTGTAACGTCAGAAGGACACTTATTCAGCCACGCCTACATTTGCTATGTAAGCTACTGGACAGATCCAGATTGTATTCTTAAATGTCTTGTTTTCCATTTGATTTGACTTTTATTAAAGTATTATTACGTCTCCGTTCGTTAGTCAATTTTCCGTAAATTCGTTCCGACGAAACTTTAGCGACACAA